AAATCATAAAGTTCCATTTTTACTAAATCTATAAGGTCTATGTAATAAATCATAAAGTTCCATTTTTACTAAATCTATAAGGTCTATGTAATAGATCATAAAGTTCCATTTTTACTAGCTCTACAAGGTTATGGTATTGATGTTATAGTAGTGTTTATTGCTTTTGAGAAGTGTTGGTATTAGTTGTGTGAGCTGTGTGTTGTTGGATTACCTGACAATCTGTGGCACATCAGTAAGGTTTTTTCTTAACCATACCAAAGTCCCTTTCATGCAAGAAGTGAATATTTTTTATTTCTCTACCAAATTCCAGGTGAAAAGTTTAATATTTCTTAGTGTTTAAAGTCATCTTCTGTACTTTAGTGTATTCATTAAAACTTGCGAGAAACATTCTGAACAGCATTTTAGTGAAGTCTGTAAATTTAGATATTTTTTGACATTGTTTAGAAATTCTGTGGACTTAGAACATTATGTGTGATAGTTTAACCTTTGTAAATTGATAAGCTTTAGTTAGGATACAAGTGTTACAGTATATAATTGACATCTCTGACTAATGTTTGATCTGTGATAAAAATATCAGAGAAAAGTATATATGTGCACAACTTGTTTTACAAAATGACTTGAATTTTTACTACTTCTAAAATATGAGGTTGAAGTTATGCGATGATACTCATAGCTCATTAATTATAGTATTTTAAACTTGTTATGATGTAGCCTTCAAATTTGAAAAACAGTTGTCTTTAGAAGTATGTGCTATTTAATATGAGAAATTGAATAAAAATATTCAAATATTTTTATTTTAATGAATTCAGAGTTTTAGACAAGAATAGGGTAGAATACATTTCCACTATCCAGGATATGAATGGCTAATTCACTACTTGTTACTGAACATCTGTGGCTTTTAGATTCATATATCAGGGGCTTTTTCTTTGTTTTAGAGGATGTTTTAAGCAATACAACATTTAGAATACATTTAGAATTCACTCCTTGTTACTGAACATCTGTGGCTTTTAAATTCATGTATGAGGGGCTTTTTCTTTGTTTTAGAGGATGTTTTAAGCAATACAACATTTAGAATACATTTAGAATTCACTCCTTGTTACTGAACATCTGTGGCTTTTAGATTCATGTATCAGGGGCTTTTTCTTTGTTTTAGAGGATGTTTTAAGCAATACAACATTTTTCATGTTGCATTACATTTGAACCTGTAGGTCTTGTTACCTCTACATTTTAGAAACACGTTACTGTTGTTTTTTGTGTTTTTATTAATATTTACTGCATCTATAACATAGAATTTGGCATTGATATGATCCATGCATTATGTTTCTTTGTTGTGAAGTACAAAGCTACACAATGGGCTATCTGGGCTGTGTCCACTGCAGCTATTGGGCTATCTTGGCTGTCCACTGTAGCTGTTGAAACCTGATTTTTAGTATTATAACCTTTTTTTAGTCATCTTGTGAGAACAGTGGATTAATTGAATGTAATGAATTAATGATGCTGACAATTAATGGGTTAGTAAATTCAGTTAATCACTCAGCTCTAAGCAAAATTTCCTTAAGTTATGAACTATGTTCTTGGATATTTTCTATACAATGTATGTTAAGTTTTGTGATCAACTTTATAAACATTTAAAATCAAGTTGGAAAACAGCCTTATGTAAAATACTTGTCAAAATATTAATAAAGCATTACTAGTTACACAACGCACATTTTTAAAGAACTTTAAAAAATACATTTGGCTTTACCTATATTTTTCTGTTTCAGTGTGTCACAGTCCCACCAAAACACACAGAAGATTCAGTGTGTCACAGACCCACCAAAACATGTAATGTTTTCAGTACTTTTATTTACAAAGAATGGTTCTGAGTTTGAAAGATGTTGATCCTTTTATTTTCTGCCAGCTGCTTATAACATTTTTTGGTAGCTGTGTAGACATGTTGCATAATCAAAGCAATGATTTTTGGGAAAGCCAGTATGCTTTCATGCAACTTATTTTGATTTATTAGTCAAGTGGTCATGATTACATGGCTTTTGATTATGAAACAAGTTGTAATGGTTAAAATGGTGACATCTTCTTAGGATTTAAGGCCTGGTTGCTCTATTGGTCAAGTGATAGAAATGTGAGTAGTGTAAAATTATTAACATCCTGGATTCTTGCCTCACACTAATGTTGTACCACATGGAGCTACTAGGAGTCAAGTTCCCATCCTCGCCATTCCAAAGTGACATGTCACACTTTCAGTCAAACACTTTATTTTCAGTTTTAATGATTAGGAGGGTAAGGGTCAAAGTTATGTCAATTTTTTTATGTTTTTGTTAACAAACTTGGGTATATTATAGACTATGAAATCCTCTTCGAATTAATGGTTGAGTTTTTATGATCTGTTTTATCATGATTTAGTTATTCATCTATTTTCAGCTAACAGACAAATTATTATAGAGTGAACTTTTCATTCTATTTTGTTTGTTCTAACCATTGTTGTAAGCATATTATATTTTTTGGTCTAAACTGTATTTTCTACAAATTAATTAATTAAAAACAACAGTGTCTCTGGATATTTTAGTGTTTTATGTGATTGATGTGTTTATTGTTCTAAAGTAGCAACTGTCACTGACTTCTTACAAAGGGAGAAACAAGTCATATATATATACTGCTTATCTTTAGAGCTGATAGTTAGTAGAACACACTAGATACATACAAGGAAGCTGCTAAAGTTAAATTGTCCATTTGAAAGAAAATATAAGTTTAAACTATTTTAAACATCTGCTCTTCCTCATTTCTAACAAGCTCTTCCTGTGACTTGAAATTAAAAACATGGATGTGATGAAGCAATAGTTTGCAAGAAAATGAAGTATGTTCACGTGTTTTACATGTTAGTTATTTGGGGAAAATGTATGCTTAGAAATTGCTTTTAAGGAAGAAAACTTTATTTATCTTGCATATGTTTATTTAGAACAGAAATGCCTTTAAATAAATTTTCCTGCTGTAGTTATGTACGTTATACAGGTTGCAGGAAGTAGGAATGTTTCAGTCAGGTTGTTTAGATCTTTCTTATGAAGCTATTTGTTTTGTAATTCACATAACACTGTGAAGAGCTAATTCTTCTCTGTCTTGTAAGGTGTGTTGTTACCTTGGTTGTTAGGTAAAATGCTCACCTGAGAAGGGAAAAGTCAATTTCTCTTTCATTTTGGATGTGGTTTGCTTTGAAAGTGTAGTCTATTCAATTACTTCAATTTTTGGAAAGTCAGAAACCAAAGTTGTTTTCTTAAATTCACTGTGGAAATAACTTGAAAGTAATTTTCAACTGTGCCTATAACAACAAGTTTGTATGTATATATATATATTTTTTTCCCCCTGTTTTTTATATATATATATATATGGTACAGTTTTAGCTTACTGAGGTGTTCAAGTCACTAAAACTTCATTGGCTTAAACATGAAATTATGGACACTTCTCCTTCAATAACCACATAAATGTTGCCGTGGATGCTTATGATTTAATTACCTTGTAATAACTATGTAAATGCTACATTTGTAAGGTTTCTCTTCTTTATTAGGAAACTTAAACAGAAGAAGTAATGGACTACAGTCCTGATCAGTCTCATTCTTCCCCAGTAAAAACCCCGGGTACTGGTGTGCGAGACAGAGTTGCGCAGGTTTACTACAAACATGGACTATTTTGTTCAAGCCATCCTTATGCTGTGATTTTAGGAACCTTGTTGTTTCTTGCTGTTTGTTGGTAGGATGTTTCAAATATATTAAATTTTTTGCTAGTATATTGTTGAGTAAAATTTATCAAATATTTATACTTAAAGTCTTAAAAAATGCTCAATGAGCTTGCTTTAAAATACAGATCAGATACTATAAATGTTGTGTTATAACAAACAATTAGCCATAACCACTAAAATAAGATGATTCTGTTTTTTGTTTGTTCATTTAATAATTTGGGAAGTAGTAATGAAATGGAACAGACCCAATTATAATTATATAGATAGATATATTTCTTTTGCTAAGCTTATGAACTGCAGGATGCAGCTGTTTAAGAAACTGCACAGAGAACAAGTTAAACATACAAAGGTAGAGAGAAGAATATGTAGTTCAGAATACTGTTGGAGTTTGTATTGTGCATCAGTTTATAAATTATATGGGTGGCAAAATGCTTCAAAGATTTAGCGAGAAAGTGGTTTGATGAGAACTGCAAGATGCTAAGTTTTAGGCAAAACTGGAGAGTTAACAGTGTGTAAAGAATTTCTCTTGGTGACTTATAATGTTCATTGATAAATGTACTGGTGGTGGATTTGTTGAAAAGAAACATGTACAAGATGAGGATTTCCTTGGTCAACTTTGTTTTGATGAAAAACCCAGTACTTCGTGTATCACTTGTTTTATCTCAGGATGACTGTGTAGATCAAGTAACGATGTGTTTGTAACATTCATCAAATAAGGTCAGGTAGCAATGTGTGTTTGTAACATTGCATCAAATAAGGTCAGGTAGCAATGTGTGTTTGTAACATTGCATCAATTAAGGTGATGTACTAAGGTGTGTGTGTGTGATATTACATTACAGTAAGGTCATGTACTAATGTTTGTAACATTACATCTAATAATGTGTGTAATGTTACATCACAGTAAGGCAGACCTTGACAAATATTTTCATTATTAGGAACCATCCCAAAAACTTAGGAGCTAGATCTGATTTAGAAAAGTTCTGGAATATATTTTGAGTTAGTTGTGTGGTTATGGTACAAGATATACAGTTTTACACTAAAAAAAAGGGTTCATTACTAAACTTTATTATGTAACATTTATTAAAGTTAAACTTCCATCTGTACAATTATTAAAATAGTAGACTAAATAATTATGATTTAGGTGGATTCTGTCAATGCATGAAAGTAAAATAAAAATAATCACTGTGATATCGATAGGCCATGCAGGTTGTTTTGGTAATAC